CTTCATTTCCGTTTACCTGGTGCAGATGGTGTCCCTGAATTCTGATTGGGAGGAGAGTTTCCCCTCTGATTCTGGTCAGGTTTCCCCTGTTGGCCAATAGCGAGGCAAGTTTATTTGTACAGCAGGAGTTCAAAGTACGTAAAACATTCAAAGCATTACAGAAAGATTAGGTGTGGCAGCTTGAATGATCCTTGCTAAAATCTCTCCCGAAATGTCAACTTGTCATGGGTGATAACGTTGAGATTTTGCAACCCTTTTGCTCCCCGCTTTACACTCACTTGAACAATAATTGAACAAGCTATTTTAGTTGACTTGATTTCAAAACTAGTAATCCATCAAATTGTTGCATACAAGTCATAACGTGATGAGACGATCCGATACTTTTGTGGATTCACTGCCCTAACGGGCATCCGAGCGAGGCCGCAACTCCAAAGCGGCCCGCGACAAAAATAAGATAACCTTTATTTGTTCCACACTGGGGAAATCGGAGGACGATACAATTATGGACTGGAGTCTTGTTCCCCATAATCCCCCTCAATTTATATTTTTAATCGCACTATTTGTTGGTACTCCGTTTGTAATCGCTCCAAGGCAAATTCAAGGTCAACTCTGCTGCAGTCACTCGCCATCACTCACCGACTTATTTTGCTGGTTTGTTTGAGCGAGCAGCTCCGGATTTGCCTCGCTGAAATTGGGCACTTCCGAATAGACCATGCAAAATCTGGAAGGGACAAGAAAACGCTCTTGAAAAGTCGCCTTCAAAAGCCAGAAAAGTCTGGCTTCAAAGAATATATTTCCAAGCGGCAGTCCAGACAAGACGTAATATTTCGTGTCTCATCATAGTTACTATTTTTACCACACAAAATAGGCAATTTGTACTTAAAATACGCAACTTTATTCTCATATTCAATGCCAAACTAGTTCTCACAATTAACCAACTTTCTTGTAACATGAGTACTAATCTCCAATATACTGCACGTATGTATGGACGCATGCGCATATGCTCACACGGGCGCACATACATACGCACAGACGGTGAGTTTTGCAATATTTAATTCTTTTTTTCTTACAAAATGACTAATGTCGAAAAAAAAAATTTCTGGGTGTTACCCGAGGCATAAAAATAAAACCGACTCCTCACAAGGCAAAACCATCGTTTTGCTTTTCCGTGCGTCCCTCACATGACTCTGTAGGTGACTGCCGTTACTCACTCTCCGATCTTCTGCAGATCGCCACCTCTTCCAGTGTAAAGTGTCAGGCAGCCTTTCCATATGGACGCATATCTAAAGACAGAAGCCACGCGTTGACATTCCACTGAAGAACATTTGGTGAGCCGCCGCTTCCTGGCTTCTTACCCTCTGGTGAGTTTGATAATGTCACCAGGCTGGATGAGACTGCCCAGCTCGTCCCAAACGGAGATGGCGATGCTGCCGCTCTTGTCCGCCACCTTGCAAGATCGCACTTCGTGACCGTCTTTGGTCTTGGTCACTCGTCCTGTTTCAATAAAATAATTTGAAGGGGGTGGAGAGAGGGGTTTTCCTGGTGTTATTCATGAACGGCACAGTGGAATAAAAATACAATGATCAAGTTAACGCCATGCTTGAGTTTTTCCACATTGCGGTCTACTTAATGACCTTGTAAGTGCTCGTCTTTCAAATACTCTAAATTCATTTCGAGGTGACAAGCAACACAATTAACTCGCCTGCACAGGAGCATAATGGCATTTCATAACAATAAAGCAAACCGGTGACTGCCACATATACCGTTTTCCAATTTGTTTGTGGGAATATTTTCCATACTGATATTTACTGTAATTTTGAGTCATTTCTATGTTGCAAATATCACGCAGTTACCTGTGTTTGCGCAGTGGTGCAAGAATATTTGGTCATCGAGTTACCACTCTTGTTTTTCATTTGACTGCTGTAATTATCGACGCAAAGTGTTTTTCAAACAAATATTTGTTTACCGTAATCAAGTTCCAAGGGTATGAAAGGTGCACGATGGCACAAGAAGATATTTTTAAACACGAAGTTAATGTAGAATTTATTTTTCTAGAGCAAGGTAACAAAACAGGTCATCCCGAGGCACAAGAATGCAGGGTCACCGTTTTCATTTGATTGCGTTACATTTATGACACTGATGTTTTTTTCCCCCAAGGAAACCTTTAATGGCAACTTTACTACTGCTTTGCTGTAGGTTAGTGACATTTACAGCCAACACGTTACTTTTTCTCATACAAATATGTACAACTTCGAATTTATTATGGCACGGCATTAGAAAAGGTCCTTTCAGGTTTTTCACAGTGACGGCCTTGAATTGTTTTTCATACAAATATTTCCTGCAATCCTGACTTCACTACTTAGGTAAGCGTACCTTCCGAACAAATCTGAGTTACGTGACGGCCGTGTGAACTAAACGTACAATAAGGACCTGGGACCCCCTCGACGTCCTATTCAACACGTTAACATGACAAAAAAAAAGCGCCTGTCCCTTTAAGAACACCAGCAATCCGAGCAAAAGAACATGGAAGAGCCAACGTGCGGGCCAACACTTTTCACACTTACCTATTTCCAAAACGATGAATACAATATTGAGGTTTTTTGAGCCGGGCTTGACGTCTTTAATCAAGAACACCGCCTCGGCCGAGGGCGCTGCCATTGTCCGTGTCGATGCCACCCAAGCAAGCAAGCGAGCGAGCAAGCGCCACAGGCGGGACCAGCTACGTTAGCAGGAGCCCCGCTAGCATATTAGCATGGGAAACGCCGAAGCACTCACAACGCTCGTTTATGTATACAATTACCTATTCGATGTTAAATCACAGACGTTGGTCACAAGAGCGAAATGAAAAGATAACCAACTTCGAACTTAACAACGGCGATAGGTCTGCTGCTAATGCTAACTAGCCCCCCTTGGCTGTAACGAGTTAGCTCGTTGTTAGCTACTTTCTTTCATTTTTCGAGTCGGGTTTCTTTTCATGGTAAACGTCATTGGCAGCCGGGTTTAGTAAGATAAATGTAAAAGAATCAAAAAGATTAAGAGCTAGTTACTATTTTTAGCAATGCGACGGCCATACTATATTGAAAATGTCAACTACCGGGCTGGAAAATCCCAAAACCTGAGTCAAAATTTTGCCGTTTAAGAGCTTAAATGAGTTTTGAAGTCTCGCTCTGAAAAAAAGGGAATGTCATTTACACAATACTAACCGACCGCATTTCCTTTGTGTTGCCTTTTCTGGGTCTAAGCAAACGAGCGGTTGTGTTCCAAACCGATGTGTGTCTCTATAAATAAGCAGCCAGCTAAAGTTGGCAGTAATTCGAGTAAATTGCCGCGCTAAGTTTTCATTTCTCGACAAATGTGTCCTAAATACGCAGCTGGACAGATAAGCAAGTTTTTTCGTGGCCACAGACAGCCATGCTTCCACTATGCTTTGGGAGGTCGTACGTCACACAGCGCTGTCGGGTATTTATACAGGTTGGCATGTTCCATTGTCCTCATTCAGAGGGGGTGTTAGTTTCTAAATGCATTTTCTACTCGTGTCCAGTCGACAGACCCATTGTTACTTTGGTTCCATAGTTACAAAATGTTTCATAGCGCAAACACTCCATCACAAATCTAAAGCACCAATTTGTCTTTGGAAAGTAACATGAAATAAAAAAATATATATAAAATGTGTGCGTGCGTGCGTGCGTGCGTGCGCGCGCGCGCGCGCACATAAAGATTAACAGTGGATGGAGTTGGTTCTGACACGTTGACTGAATGTTTCAACCAACCACATCACAGTACACGATGTCAGCACAAGTTAAACGTCGTTAAATGACTCGTTTGCGTGCGTTAAACGAGAAAATGTGAACCGTGTCTATCCAGAAATTCACGCAAGTAATATGAACCTAACATGAAAACAGAATACACAAGGCAACATAAAATTATAAACGTCACGAACAGGATTCGAACCTGTGCGGGGAAACCCCATTGGATTTCGAGTCCAACGCCTTAACCTCTCGGCCACCGTGACGGTACGCAGAAATGCGGCATATACTGTTTTTATAACTGGTAGATTCCCTGGCAACCCGTGACAAGCTGAGCACAGCTCGGGGGTGTTTGTGCGTATCCACACACACACAAAACATGCAAATATACACGAATAAACACACAAAATTCCGTGGAGTAAGACGATCATTTCGTAGAATTGTTCAACATGTGCGAGAGGCGCTGTTGTGATATGAACGCAGGAGGGAGACAAGCACCGCAAAATAAATCCACTCGCCTCAACTCTTAATATCTCGCACCCCTTTTTAATCGTCCTCTTATGCCTTTTATACAAAGCTCGAGTCACTGAATCACACTGAATGGAGGGCTTAACCAGATAAACCGCGACGAAGGGAGCCTTCTCACTCTTTTTCATGACGGATTCAATTCAGCCATTTTTATAATTCTCACGTTTGATGACTTGGGACAAATTGTTTCATAATTTAGCCTCACCCAAATGTCTCGCGGAACAGCTTCAGATTTAGGCCGATTCGGCCGAATTCCCAAGAAGAAGTTCATCATTTAAGAACGACAAGCCCCGGATTTACCCGAATGGCTGCTTCCAAACAAAATGGCAGACGTCCTGTTCAATTTCAGTCATTTATTCATGAAACCTTTAGAAGCTTCCTGTTATGATAGACACGTCCACACAATTTCCTGTTGACTGTGAAACTGATAGGAATGTTTTTAGCACATTTTCCCAAACTTTCCTGGGGCTGTTACTCACTGAGTTTATACGATGGCATTGGCTTGTGTTATGAAAATGCAGACGCCTTCACAAGGATTCGCATACAAATCGCTGAATTTAGTTAAGACATGAGTCATAACCAACTTCAAGGGATATTAAAGAGTTTATTTCGCTACTCTGTCAAACATGTTCGTGCCCGTTGTAGTGCTAAGGAGTGCTGCATTGATGATTTAAGCCAGTTTGATCCCTGATGGTATTTGCAGCGTGAAAAGCAACGCCCTTCATTTGACTTGAAAAGTCTGCAAAGATGACAAAGAAAGCTTCGTGTTTTATTCCTTTATTGTGGCAGACAAGGCTAATGTTTGAAAGAAAAAAATCCTGCACATTCACAAGATGTTAGCAATGGGAGTGAAGGCATTGCTGGTTTCCCACTCGCTTAACTTCTATCCAGTGAAGGTATAAAAGCAACACCATGACCGTATTTCTTTTTTTTGTTTTTTAATACATTTATTTAGAACTGAATGTCAAGAACAAAGATTACAAAGTCTGAACCAACAGTAGGGCAACATACATAAAAACATACTTTTTTTTTTCTTCAAACGAAAGCAATGACAGCAAAGTTAAATCGAGGATGAGAAGCAGAGAAAATCCTACTTTTATGTATGATTCAAACCACTGGACCGCACCAATTGTACAGAGAAAAGTGTTACATCTTAGTTCAATCATTAGTTGAAGAAAAGAAGAGATATCATGCTGAACTTTGATTATATTCAATAGAAAAAGAGAATAATACAGTGTGTGGCTGCAAGTCGAACTTTATTTGATCCCATTCGATATCAGATGAGCAAACGGAGAAATATAGGTGTAAGGAGACATGCTGTACTTTTTTTTTCACAAAATAAAACAGTTCCCAGGTGTCTTAATGAAAAGTTCTGACATTTGATGGTCAAAATATATAATTACAGCACATTGAACATCCCCGAACGCAGTCTGGTTGAAATTGCTTTGTCTCGGGTGGGTGGTTCTGCTTCATGATTTCATTACCATGACAACCGGGGGCGAAGGTCGGGCAGTGCCGCAAAGTGAGGGCTGCTCAATTTTGCCACCTAAGCCACTTTTCAAATGCCTTGAGACAAATTTTCAAAAAAAGGGACCGGTAACAAATTTCACTTCTTTTAGAGACTCCCCCGTAGCAGAAAGCTCACCTCTCCCTGTCCAGACTGCAAATGAATCGCGCAAAGCCACCACCGGCTAATTTAAACATAGCCCACAAACTCCAGAAAGCAAGCAGCCATAAATATTCGATTGTACTTTCTCTTGTAGAAGCAGCACTTGATGGAAATACACTTTGTCATGCCTCAGACGTTTGGCCAAATGCAACCCCCACCCCCACACCCACCCACCTGCCCGTCAACAACTTAGCCAGATGCTACGTAAAAACAGACACATCATCAGAAATACAGGAGGTCGCTAACTAAATATTTACTTGGGTAATTTCGCAGCTATTTGTACACCCAGTCAAATTTCCATAATCTGTTTATTTTGAAATTTGCACGGGAGCTAAGTAGATTTAAAAGGAACGCCTTTGTGTTTAACCTCGACAATGCAAAATGTTTACAAAACGGTCTTCGTCATAGAACCCTGCAGAAGAAAAGAAGAGGGGGGGGGCATGTTTTACCATTGGTCTTATCTTCCCAAATCACAGGAATCCACTCCTTCAGGAGTGCAATTACTCATACCAGCTTGTGCACGTTGCAGACGCTTTCAGGACTATGCTGTTGCATGTCACCGCAGGAGAGGCAGTCACTTAAAAGATAAGCTAAAAAAAGAAAAAAAAAAAGAGCGACTCAAGGTTTGAATCCGCCCAGGAGCAAGTCATCATTCAATACATATCTACAGGACTTTGTTTTTTTGTTTTTTTTTTCCAACATTCTATTTTCTGAAGTGTCAACGTGCTATTACAACATTCGGCTGTGTTGCAAATGCACAACCAAAATTTAGCGGTGATACTACTTTGGGGATGATGTGAAGTTACTGCTTAGATACCTCACCAGTTAGCTCTCTCGACCAGCAGTGTAAAATTGGGCACCTATTTCCTCGAAAAGAGAATAGAGAGCCTCGAAACCTAAGCCCCGGCTCCCCATTCTTGTTCTTGCATAACCTGGCAACATACTACCTCCACAGTTTTGTTGCCAAAGATTTACTCGTTTTCAGATGGGGAACAAAAGAGGCCAGAACAAAGGCTGTTTTTCAGTAGAGAGACAGATGAGCCCGGCGAGAGGGGCATACCTGGACCACTGCCTCGGAGATGTGCTGCCGTCCAATTTGTGCGCAGCAGCTGATGGGACCGTTTTCAAGAAGCCTCGATTACCACGACGTTTGGAACGTTACCTTCCCGATAAACCGGGCAGATTCCCAGCTCAAGTTTGATCAAAGTCAGCGAAGGTCCAATAATCGGACGTCTGAGGATTATCTGGCTAACTTTTTCTGAGGTGGGGCCATCGTAAACATTCAACCTGTTCGATATTTCTAATCTGTAAATCTGCGTGTGTAGTCAACGGCCGATCGCCGAACACCGTGAGCGTGGTGTCCAAGTGGAAAGCGACCTGAAACTTGGGCTACCGGTGGATGCCTAGAATGAGCCGCATTCACCGCAACAGAAATGACAAGATTTTGCAATCGTGACGTACAATAGTGACGAGACAAACGGATATCCTAGTTTCTTCTATTTCTCCTATGAAATCAAATCCCCGCCTATTCTCATTTTGCTATTCACAAATTGACTGTTTCCTTTTTAACATCACCTCTCTTTTGCGCTCTTTGGGAAACTTCCAAAGAGGCCACAAAATGGCAACCCAGCCCTGTCTACCGAGGACAGTGCAGTTGGACAATCGAAGTATGTTTGGACCAACTCTACTCCCGTATACTAAGCAAGAAACATTTGACTCCTACTCGGTGACCGTAGGAAAACCCGGAGCGGTGATTAGGACATTTGCTTGACAGCAGCTGTTTCCGTCGCCGCCGTCAGGGGCTGCTTCTCTTCATGATTGCGGGCCTCCCCTGCTTCTTCATCTCGCTCGTCATCTTTATCCTCGCCGACGTCGTCGTCGCGCTCGGGGACGGCGAGACCGGCGGAACGATTGCCGTTTGTTTCACACTGGATGCTCGGCGGGTCTCCGTTGATCGTCAGCTCCGCCTTCACGCTTCCCGCGGCGGACCGGCTCGCCATCGGTTGACTCTTCCGTGCGGCGTTCTCGTCCGATGCCGTATCTCCGGCGAAGCATTCCAGTGGCGCCATCTCCGCGTGGGCCTCTTCCCCGGAGGTCAGGTCTTGCGAAGGAGCCTCGCCATCTCTCATTTTCTTGACGTTGAAAGTCATGGGCGACACCTTGAATGTGGAGCTTTTAGCGGAAGGGCTCTTGGGGTGGGTCGGACTGAGGGTCCTGATGATCTTTTCGCGCTTTTCCGGCGGCACAATCTTGGTGGTGATCTGTGCCATCTTCTTCTCGATGCTCTGGCGCGAGAAGGCCTTCTTGATGCTGTCGACCTTCTTCAGACTGGAGCGCTTGAACTTGTCAGACCTTCGCTCAAACATATAGGAGCTCCCCCCTGCGGCCCCGCACTCCAGCTCTTCTCCTTCCGCTCTGTCGACGGAGACATCCTCATCTGAGGAAAGGCTGATGGTCTGGAGACCGTCGACGGAGCTGGCAACGGACATGTCGGGCTGAGTGGACTCTGCGTCATACTGGCTTGGTTGTGGAGTCTTGATGGAATCTTTGACCAACACACTGGAAGGTATCTCATTGTCTTCCTGTTCAGAAAGAAATGAAAGACAAAGAGGATTACAAAACGCTCAGGAGTCGTTTTAAAAAAAAAATGAAATAACTGACTGAAGAGAGTCAAACAGAAAAATGATCTCGTCAAAGGCAATCATTGTTGGATTGAGTTGTTGCGAATGCACGGATACAATAAAAACCCAACAGCCTTGGCATCTGACATGCGCAAATCCACACATGAATGAAGTGTCGTGTCTGAAGTGCTGCCCCGACAGGTGAAAATTGTTTGCATTGCTTTCATGGCCACACGCTGTTGTTCTGCTAACGCTAACCTGTAACAAGCATTGCCCCGGTGGCTCATGGATATCCAGTGGCTCTCTTTACATGAGATAGGCCATTGCAATTGGATGTCTCGCGTCAGTTGATCTGGACGTAAACCAAGATCAAAATCACTGTGGAGTCACGAACCAAGGGCGTGCCAATTGAAGAATACGTTGCGCCCAGAGAGTCATCTCTTTCGATCACTTTCTCCCATCCGTCAGTCAGTCCTTCAACGTAATCAGGCATGCAAAATCTCAATGACCACAAGGTGAGACGAGTAACCTTCTGACGGGCATCAAAACGTAAAGAAATAATTGTTGGCGCGTGTAAGAATGACTGCCTCTCCAAGAATGCAGGGCCGCTCGCGAGACATTCTCGGAGTGCTTCAAGGGACGGGATGCCAAAGGTTCTTAAGGAACCGTGCAACGCGCCTTTCACGGGGTGTTATTAACCCTTACTCCAAGACCGGCCGGACCAGATGCTCCGGAAGTCTCTTGGCCCAAACACAATCTATATACTACAGCGACGAACGAAACAAAATCAGAGGTGCAAAAAGACAACCTCGAAACCCCTGAAGGTGACCATAATGGACGACTCCTCAGCCAAACAGGACAAATACGGAAGGAAAGGATGGACAGAATGTTACAAAACTACCGCCAACTAGCTACACTGACATCGCAGTGTGGAAATATCGTGTCATGTTGAGTACCCTCCAAAAAAGCAAGGAGGAAGGAGAACCGGGGAGTACTGAACAAAGTATATGAAAGGAAACATTTACAGGTGCGACTTGGAAAAACCACATTCATCACACAAAGTCCTGGAAACCCAAAGAACTCAAAGTAGCAAACAAACAAACAAAAGCCCATGACAGTAGAACAACAATTGATGCCGAGTGGTCGTTGTGGCAGTCCTTTTAACGAAAAAAAAAAATACAAATAAATAAATGAGTTATAACATGATAACCAACAGGTGCGACTCTGGCGGAGAAGCCCTCCAGTGCCACCTGTTGGTCACAAATGGAACACAACCATAACAGATAGCTGACATGAAAATGAAATGCAACATTTGTCCCAACTGTCGATCCAGCCGACTACTTTTATAAAATGAAGGAATATAACGACAAATAATCAGTTACTTCCTCATTATTTAAACCTTGTTCCTGCTACCTTAACAGATTTTGTTGTCGTGCACAGGTTGGTAAGGTGCAGTTAGGCCGGGTCGTCTGGCACCGGAAGCGCAGCATTTGAAATGAGCCTCAAAACAAATAGTCATCAGCCACTCAGAATGCGATGCGATGTGACACGGCAATGGGTGCCCCTTTTGTCTCTGCGTTCATGACCAGACATGTTCGACGTCGGACATTTTTAGAAACACTCCGACTGAAGAGAAATGTACATCAATTTGGAAAGAAGCCAAACAACAAAGATAATTTCATGCGACAACAACTTTGTTGTTCCCCGGCCCGCGCTCGTTACGTCATACGTGGCAAGCTTTCTGATCCAGATTTTCCGATGCAGAGGCGTCGTTTGCATGAATAGCAAGTTAAGCCGAGTGAGAAAATGCTTACGTAAGAGTTTTCATTTCTTGTGTCGTTCAAACGGAACCGATGAGGGTGGGACAGGACAGGATAGGACAGAGTTGAAAGGAATGAATGAACTCAGATGAGTGCTTGTTGCTTATTGACCAAATGTTAACAGTACAATATGGGCGGAATGATACAGCGCTGTTAATGAGTGTCGAAGGATTCACGACGACAGCTTGGATGCGGTGACGGTCTACTTTTCACCGTTCATTGGACCGCAAGATGCCTACGGTAGTGTCGCATGAACACAAATGGGCAGTTGGGCACAAGGAAGTCATGACAGACTATTGCACAATGCAACCACAAAAGAAAAAAAGGGACACACCTGTTGATGTCACACTTTACACAACAGGGAAAAAAAAAAAAAAAAAAACGTAACAAAGAAGCCAGATTTTCAGGTTAAGAACCAGCTCCGTTTTTAAAATTGAAACAGCGAGAGTGGCGTGAAGGAGGCTCTCCCACATAAGACGTACTTTCAAGAGGATTGACGGAACTGACATCCGAACCATCATCACAACTTTAATATCAACTTTGAAGTCACTTGAAAGCTCGACACAGAGCGGTTCACTTCACCGTTGAGGTGGTGAGACTTTGGAAATTAGGAATTTGTCTTGGGCCAAAGTCATCCCCAGGTAGCAGGTCCTGCATGCTCCCACTTCATCGTTGTCTTCACCCACAATTGACGGAGCGCTCACACTTTGTTGACTTTGAAGCAGAATTCTCTGACGGCCACGGGGACAGGCAAACAAAATGTGCAAGGGAAGAACTTCTTCACTGTGAGACAAATAAAGGTTTTCTTCTCTTTTCTTAACTCATCGTCGGAGGTGGAAGGCGGAGAGGAATCGCCTCGTAGCGTTGGAGCAAAGCCTTAAATGGGTGGGTGTGGCTGACTGGCAGAGGTGGGCATGGCCAATCACGGCTAAGTTGCTATTCACTTTTTTTTGGGGGGGGGGGACTTGCCTAATGACGGCAGCCCTCACTTCGTCGCGACGCCCTAACCCACCGTTTCGATTCTTTGTCCTTTGTGGAAGTGGAACTGAGCTCAAGTGATTGAGAAAAATCTGCCTTATCAGCATAGACAGTATGTCACGGACGTGGATCCTGTTCGCGGTCTCAGGAAGTCCTTTTCAAGGTCATCCCAACATGCTTGTCAGTGGAGAGTTGCAAGGAAATGGGAAGAGAGGGAAAGGAAATGGAATCATCTGATTCCGCGTGTCCTCGAGAGCGTTCATCACGTCAACGGTCCGAGCGATGCAAATGTTCTGCTCGATGGATACAAAAATAAAAACTAAATAAAGAAGACATTCCCCGACATTTCCTGTTATTGTGTTTCGGCCAATCTCTTCGAGCTGTTTTCTTTCTCAATCCGCCTCAAGCGATAGCGCCAGTACCCGTTCAAATCAGCAAATATAAACGCCGCCATTGTTTGTTGGGAGCGCATTTTTTTGATAAGGCCGCGCCACAAATTGTCGTCATGTTTACAGCGTGAAGTGGCTGTTGCGTAACAGCGTCCAAAGATAAAGCCGGGAAGTCATCACGTTATCTGACATGTTTGATTTGGGCGGGATTTTCTTTTTTTTCTTTTTGCCCTCTGAATGAAAATGAGAACTTGAATATTTCCTTTTGTCCTGTGTTGGATGTCATGACCCGGTTAGGCTCATTGGGATGAGAGATGTGTCATGTGTAGCTTCTCACGAAGCCCAAAGTACAAAATGTTCATCAGCAGCCGGCTTTGGGAAAAGAAAAAAAAAAAAGTGCCGAATGGGTTCTTGTTAATCGCTCGGTTCACACGTGAGTTTCTGACTCGGACGAGTTCCCTTGTTCAAAGTCAAGCAAGGAGGCTTTTGATTCGCCCAAAGCAAAATGGACGATTTTCGCGCACGGGTTCTTGAGACTATTTTCCGTCTTTGGTTTTGATTGACGCCTCCACTCAGTTTTGTTGAAATCTGTGAAACGAGTGCTGGAGTTCATTTTTTTTCAAAGTGCCAAGGGGGCGCTACTCATAATTCATGAAAACTGCAAAAATGTCAACCGTGTGAGTGGCACATTCGAGCCTAGCGTCGTTTTCGTGTTGACAGTCTTAACATGCAAAATATGCACAATATGTCGCCTTGGCAGTTCCAGAGACCGGAGGATAAATACTTGTTTTCAGAGGTAAGCCCGCCTTATCTTTGTATATGCAACTTGGTCTAATGTGGCACATTTTCAGAGTGCCATCTTCGCCAGTTCGACCTCTGCAGTATGTCGGTGTGTTTTGATAGCTGCAGTGTTGTTTCTAAATAGTGCCTGATATTTATTATTTGCACATATATTCCCAGGATGTCTCTGGCTGTTCGAGCATGAACCTGATTTGTGGATTCAGGCCTCCTGTGCTGTTGCGGGTTAAAGTCAGGCAAGAATTATGGACTGAAAAAGTAGTTTAACGTAGTTGCTTTATTTCACTGATTTACAATATAATTGTCAGTAGGTGAGGTACATAAGACATCAACAGCTTATTTAGGATGACTTAGCATCAACGAGCCACTGAATCATAATGCACAAAATCGTCATTGAAATCATTAGTAATGGTGTCAAAAATGACAGAAAGATTTTTTTCCCCATTCCATACAGACTTGGGTCAAAGTGACCTGGGAAAGGATCCAATCCCAAGTGTATTTCTTGAGCACTTGAAAGCAAGCCCCGCTGTATACAACAAAAATAATCCATGCAAAAACAAACAATAAAACAATGATTTTATGTCAAGACAGTAAAATACGGCCAAACTAAAATTCAAGTCAAAAGCCAAGGAATAAAAAATGACACGTGTGAAAGATGGGCAGCGAGGGGGCTTGCCGAATGTTCAGTGGGACGTCATTCCAAAGAGAGGGAGTGGCAATGGAGAAGGTTCAATCCCCTCTGAGCCTCCGCTGAGTTCTCGGTACCTCTCATAGTGTCTGGCCCGCAGACCTGAGGCACTGGGCAGGGGCGCCGGAGCTCAGAGAGGTAAGGTGGGACCACCAGGCCGGTTCACGATTTGCAAACAAATACGAGGATCTTAAAAATAACTCTAAAATGAGCCAGTGAAGGGACGCCAGAATAGGAGTGATGTGCTCCCTCTTACAAGAACCAGTCAAAAGGCGATCAGCAGCATTT